TATATCTTATCTTTATCGTGCTGTGAATCGAATTTCTGACGTCTTGCAAATGAAACGTGACCGACTACAAATAGACAATTTGTAACACACAACAGTTATTTGATCGATAAAATCGTCAACTTTGCACGCAAAACGTGATCGGATAAAGAAAGCCACGATAAACAAGATAAGCGAGAAATATGCATCAAGCGACAGGAAATCTTACGATTTTTTTGTCGAGAAAAACTAACGTGGAAGTGTGCTCTTGGGTGCAAGAAAGGCCTGAGGATTTTCCAAATAAAATACTAATAATATAATGTTAATGAAGCTATTAAGAAAAAATATTAAATCTCCATTATTGACTGGTTTCATTGACCGCATTCAGCACTTTAAGTCTCATTAACTTCCATCATTCTTTCCCAGATCGTTAAATATCTTTTATGTCAACACTCTCACCTCCAGGCTCGATCATTTTAATACCATTATATAATAGAATATACGAGATGCGCCGGAATAACATGTATATACAAGCAGGGAAGGGGGCAAAATAAGAAGAAAATGTAGAATGAAATTCTTTGATTTGAGGCTTCGTTATCGAGGAAATCCAGTTTGAAGATTTATCAAGCACACGTGTACCAACAACGCATTTTTAACGAAACATATTCAAAGTCTAGTCTTTTGGAAATGAAGTTAAATGAAAAAATTATTGCACGTAAAATAACCTTCTGATAAATCTTCTATATATTTTTTTTTTTTATTTCTTTATAAGCTTATGTGTTGTTATCTGCTTGAGTTTTGGTTCTGTGCAACTTTCCTTTTAGGATTTCTATATACAGAGGTGGCAGGTAAATGACAAGATAGAAAGTAGTATCTCTCATTCTATTTGTACTGAGAATATGACATTTCTACCGTCATTACTATTCATATCTTAGTGTACATACATTATCTGTGTGTCATTCATACAAAGAAGTCTCTTTTTTTCTCGTTTATTCAAAATTAAATTAAATTTAACTTTTTAATTTAATTTTTAAACTTCATTGTGTGTGAGGAATATTTCACTTTTAAACGTGCAACTAACTTTTGTTTTCTAGTATAATTATATGGAAATCGCGTGTATGCAGTACGCAATATTCACCTTACATAAGTTACTATCTCTCGATTGCGACACAACAATTCCTAAATATAAATAAAAATATAAAAAATTCAAATAGCGAAGATTTCTAGTAGGATAAAAGGAATTCGAACGAAACGCGGCAACAAACAATCCTAGAAAAGATGGGGAAAATCTTCTAGTGTTTTTCCTCCTTGCCGGGATATTTACTTTGAATGTAGTGACTTGCGAAAGTGTTTGAACAGTCATAGATATTTCTTTTATGGACATATTGTACAGAACGTTTTGAAATTTCATTTCGCAAAATTGAAATGATCTTTCGATTACACTACTAAAGATATTCCCTCCGATCATTGAACATATCTCAGTCATTGATGATGTTACCATCTGACCTGTAGTTGATGCGTAATCTCGTATTATTAGCTATCACTATTGTTTTCATTCAAACAAATGAAACGTATAACAAGGTTTAAACTGAACGACACATTCTCTATCACTTGCATTGTTAAAACATCGAAACGTTATTCTTCAACTAGCATAGTCATTTGAAACTTGACCCTAATGTATGAATACTCAGCTCTGTCGGCTGAAAGAAGCTACTTTCGGAGCTCGAATAATTGCCAACCCGTCTAGTATTTCTGCAAACAGTGATGACGGACATTCGAATTCAAAGAAATTCGAAACTTTGCGTGAATCTAATCCAATAGAACAATTTTCCTTTTCTATTGAAAAAATGATCCTCGAGGTAAATCCTGCGTTTCTCAAAGAAATTTTAACCTCTCATGTATTCGCGAAGCTGTAATGTAAGATAGAGACAAAAGATTAAGTTAAAAGTTGGCATGAGATTTTCAAAAATTAAGAAATTAACTCCCCTTCTCTATGCTTGTATTTATACTATAATATAACATTATATTCCAGTTAGAAACTATTGAAACTTTTCTGCTTGCTTCTAAAATTATTCTCCAACAATTTTTTATACATTCTGCATATTCGAAACGATGGGAAGTGCTTATCTCTAATCGGGCAGCTAAGATCGGAGTTATCCGGAAGAGGATACGGCAAAGATGTCCCCCACGAACCGCGCGAGAGTTAGGTGTGAACGTTTCAGACGCTTGGCACGTGCTGGCCAGAGTGAAGGCGAAAGTTAGCACGAACGGAGTATCGATGATGAGACTGTCGGGCTCGTTCAATACTCCAATGGAGAATCGAAGAGAGAAGGAAAGAGAAACGCAGAGAGAGGAAAGGAGAGAGAGAGAGAGAGAGAGTGACCGAGGCCCGGTTCGAGCGAGTAAACCGCTCGATTTGCCTGGGTTTCGCCGCCACGACACCTAAACAGGTAGACTGCACCGGTAACTACTTGGAAGCTGGTGGAAGAGGAATCACCACGAAAACAGGCGCATGCATTTTAAGGCCCGTGCAATTAATAGGGCCGTACTCGTGCCACGAAAGGCGATTTAGTGGGAACAAATGAGTCACGAGCAGCGACGGGACGTCGTCGTCGTAGGTCGAGGCAAAACCCAATGGTAGGGATATCTCAGGCACGACACTATCGAAACCAATGCCACGAAGCTTGCAATTAGCCTTTGAACGTTGATCGACGCTTACAGGATAACAAAATGAAATGGAACGTATTCGAAGATTGTTATACTAAAGAAGATTTCTCTACGAAGATGAGCATTTTGTACCCAACGTAGCTGGTACTGCGATAACATCGTGATTCGTTTATTTGTATTGCGTGGAATAGCGACATGAAATTAATTTTATTTTAAGACAGCAGATTGAAATAAAGATTCGATGAGGGATTGCTATTATACGGTGTACCAACTGGTATTCTAAGAGTCATCGTGACTCATCGTTACAAAGTAACGAAGTGAAGTTTAAATTTAGTTAATTAAGGCAGCAAGTAAAGATGAGATTCGTTACAAAGAAGCAAATTGAAATAAACTTTCGACGAAATTTATACCAATTGAAGATTCCTCTACGAAGGTTAAGATCTGAGTATTCCATGCTTGAATGCTCGGTACTCCAAAAATCATCCATCAAAGTTATGAAACAACAAAAGAAAACGAAATAAATTAAAAAATAATGAAATTGTTCCAAACGAAGGTTATGATCTCAATCGATTCCACCATCAAACAGTTGGTACCCCGAAAATCTCACTTTGCTTTGCCCATCGATATTATACAAAAGACAACGAAACAAAATGAAATTTCACCTGAAAAGAAAAGTCACAGAAATTGTTATAATTTCTATCAAGTATCGTGACAGATGGTTCGGTCTCGTGACTGTTATCGAAACAAAATTATTGACAACTTACAAGTAGTCCAAAATCTGTCGCCGTGTGGCTCGAACGTTCGCACGGAGATCAGCGAGTGTCTGCAAATTCGTCGGGCAGTTCAGTATTTGTCGAAAAAAGCGTTGACAGAGTGTAATCGAGTCGGTGTAAGTTTCATGGCTGGGAACGAGACACGTGGCGTGGCAAAAAGCGCGGCGAAGCGTACGGCCCTGAACCGGGATGGTGGCAGGCGAGCGCGCAAGTCTTCTGCTAGTGCCAAACGATTCCTTTGGCACACTCGCGTCTGGAGTCTCGTTATAGTCGGGGCGAACGTTTTGCGCCAGATTGTGTCGTGCACTTGTCAGCGTTGCTGAGTGATCGTGCGAACCGGTCCGCTGCGAAACTCGTCGAAGGTATCGCCATTGCGGCAGTGAGCGTCGTTCATCGAAAGGAACAGAGTCGAAGTGTACTTCGATAGATCGCAAGGAACGACTGAGACGGCTGAGTCGCCATCTTAGATTTGCGGTGAGCACGTTGCGAGCAGTGTCGAGACAGTTTCCGCGGAGTCGGCGAGTTTTTCCAAGAGGGAAAACCTCACAGGCATGCGAGAGGGGAAGCTGTCGTTTTTCCTCGAGCGTGAACGCGTATAAAAACCGACACGGTGCATGCCGACAGGGGGCAGACGCAGTGAGCGCCGCGAGCGAGTAACCCGTGAATGCGGCGGATGCCACCGATGCACGAAACCCAAGTGAAGAAGAAACGACCAAGAAAGTGCGCAAAGTGACTTCCTGGAGGAGAGAGATTTTTTCTTTTCTGTTTCCTAATTTACGGGTGCCTGGCTGGGCGGAGCTGGTCATCGACAACGCGCACGAACCGACTGGACAGATCGTCAGCATGAGTAAGATGCTGGGTACAAACTATTGCACCGTATTCTCTGTACTTAGAAGTCCCGAAGAGGGTGAATCGTTTAAACGGATCATCTGAAAGAATCGTCGATAACGAAAGGGAACGCCGTGCGAGGAAAGCCGAGAGAAATAAACCGTGTAACGTAGGAAGAGACGAACACTGAGTATAACGAATTCAGACACGTTCGAGCGGCGGCCGTTTAGTCGAGGGCGATTAGTCGAATCGCGATCGATAGTGCACGAGCGAGCGCTGGAACGAGTGCAATCGATTTTTTTCGAGCAAGCGAGAAAATAAAAAGTGCTTGGTCATTGTCAGTTGGGGGATGCCGACTGTCGAAGCTGCGTGATCACCTGCGAAGAAAGAACTGCGACGTTGACGTAATCGATTCTATATATAGGTGTTTGAAATTCGCGAGACCGTGAAGTGAACGATATATAAAAGGGCGAGGTGTACGATATTATAATTTCCTCCCCCCTCCCTCTCGTCGACGGACATTTACGACATTTCAAATCTGGACGTTTCTCCTACCTGTGGTATCAACGTGGTACTCTCCTCTTCTTTAAGATACTTTTAGAGAATCGACGACGAGATCTCTCGTTTCGTAATCTCTGTTCATTTCAGTGATCGTGCAGAAGAAATCGAAATCGGCGATTTCGAGTCGTCGTTATCGTCGTTAACGGGCACGGACGCATCGGGGTGATTTGTCGTGACACGATCGTCTGATCGATAAGACAGGTCGTCTCTATCGATCGAGAAGAATCGAAGAAGCCAAGGAAGAACAGTTCGAGCCGAACCGAGCCAAGTTTCCCTGCCGATCGAGACACCCGACGGCATCCAAAATACTTTTATAACCCGTAATGTATTTGAGATCGCACGTACAGGCAGCAAAAGGGAGGCACGAGAATGCAAGAGAGGCGATAGAGTCTGGCTGCGGAACAAGAGGCCGGAGCAACGTTGGATCGGCCGCGAGAGGCAAGGGCAAGACGAAGAAGGGATCTCTGCTGGTTGACTGGTGCTGCTGGGATTTCGAGGAGCAGCCTCAGCCGCTTCGTCTGAGATTGGCCGACGAACAAGACTCGAAACAGGCGTGCATACGACGCGGTATGAGCGAAGGTGAACGAGCTGTGACCACGCCACGAATCGGCTGGCGAAAGCTCACTGATCCTGGCGACTGACACGAATCCAGCAACTCGGTGGCAGGTCCGAGGCGATAGCATCAGCTACTGTTTCACCGTCAACGTGATCGTTGCCCTGCCGCTCAAACAACCAGCCACTGCCACTTGGACACTCGTGGAACGATCGTCGAGCCACGATCGCGACCCGTTCGACAGGATACCGCTATATCCTGACGCACACCTTGGTCGCCGTCGATGTCAGCCAAATGCAAGAGAACGCCCCGTTCAGATTCACGTCGCGAACGTCATTGAAGACGGACCCGAAAATGGCGGGCAATCGGTGTCGGTAGCAGACGGGGTTACTGCCTAAAACAGCAATCTCCTCCTCGTACTGCGCTTATCCTAGGGGAGCCACGTCTGGAACCGTTCGATTGGTTTCCGCTAGATTCCACTCCCGATCTTTTCTCTCTTGCCGCGAGTATTTCATTCTCGTCGATCTCCCTATATATAGCGAAGCCGGTTGACGAACTTTGTGCTCGTTCGTTTCCCTTTGTTTTTGCTCGTTTCCCTTTTCGTTTCTCGTTGCCGTTGTTCCATTCAAGTAACAACGACACGCATACACGCGGCCACGCGACACTGGCCCCGTGATAGACAATAAACCGTAGCTGATATAGGAGTAGTGGTAACATGTAGTTGTGAGACGATCGAGGAGTCAAATTGGGAAGAAGGACAAGGAACGTCGAAAGGGAAAACCCACTGTCGTGACACCGCAAATAGTATCCTCGCTGAGTGATCTCTTCAACGAGACCACGAACAATAATTGTATCTGATTCAAAGAGAAAAAAAAAAAAAAAAAGAGAGAAACATATATATATATATAAAACATACACACACACACACACACACACACACACACACGTGTAACATTTGCACTTAAATCTCGCTTTTCCTGCGATCATCATGCCGCCCACTCCAAATAAATTGAACTTGAGCTTCGCCAGAAACGCGTACAGCGTGTTTGGGGCACGCGGTACCAATACCACTGCTGATCATCAGCGTGAGCAGAAAACGGAACTTTTGGAGGGTAAGAGCATTGGATCGTCGCCTACTTAATTAGATTATTTGGCAGGCGACTCGATCGGATCGTCCTTGACGATCCTTCCGAATGAAATCGCTTTCCATAAATATCGTGCCATTGATAGCTCGTTCTAATTGATGGTCACGAACGTTTCGCATCGTTACGAATCGCAACGATTTATTTCACGTGATTATTACTTCTGTGAAATTTCATCGCCTTTCATCGCCTTTCATAGTTGGCTAATGTGGTCGATATTAATTTAATCGTTTGGTCGTTTATTTCAGGAACCAGGAGCAACGGAATTCTTCATCTAAAAAATGGTATCGATTACATCAATCCTGGTGAAGAAGACCAAATGGAAATCTATGGGTAAGCGATGACTAAGCGATTAAAGACCGATTAACTCCACTAAATTAAGAACTAGAATAAAATGGGGACATTGCAGATGCTGTTCTTTAAATTTCTTCATTGCAATTTGTGATTGTTATTATGACACATTGCTTGTTAAGATTGTCGGACTGTTATTACGTAACGTTTTGTTTTCAATTTCTTCAGGTATAAGAGAAATAAAATTCTGACCGCTGTTACTTGGTTCTTGATCATCATTACTGGAGGCCTTCTTAGATTGGTCTTCCATTGGATACCGCATCTCATGTTGCTAGCGACTCATTCCAAATGTCAATTAGAAACCGCAGACACTGTTTTGCTGATAGAGAAGTTCCAAGGAAAACACACGAGTTATCACGTGAAGAAACTAAAGACCTTGGCTGCTCAAGATATACTGTATGTATTATCGGTTCTTCCTTATTGTAAATTCAGATTTTCCTCGCTTACGTTGCAAGCTAATCTTTTGCACGTGTTTTTCGAAAAGTAAACCATTCGATGGGAAATCATTGATGGATAATGAACCATCGTGGATGGAGAACGGCAGCATGATTACCATCAAGGAAGTGAAGGAAGAGTATCCCCCCACCATTTCGCTGCATTTAATCGGTGGACAATTTAAACGTAAGAATTTAACGATTTTGAGAAAAAAATATTTTCTTTTTATAATAATAAAATTTTATTTTATTAAAAACTAAAATGGAATAACTTTTGAAAGTGTTTTCTAAAAGAAATGACATAATATATACATAATTACAGAGGTTCCGTCGATCGTTTTGTTCCATTGCAAAAAGTTAACTTACGTTTGGGACCCCGAAAGATCCGAGTTTCTGAAGCTTCGAGGTTTAGACGTAGGAGTCTTAACCTCCACGTTGCATCAGATGCAAGGATTAAATTCACTTGAACAACACATGAGGTAAATATCTCATACCGTAGAGACTTTTGTAGAAATCAATCGATTCAATGTAACGAGTATCCTTCTATTTTTTTTTTTTTTTTTTT